CCTCAGCATCAGAAATTGTAAATTAAGCCACCTGAAAAAACAACTCTGAAAAACATACCCACAAAAGGTTACAACATTTGAATTTATAATCTTCAAATACAACAACAAAGGTAACTCCATCTTTGAATAATCTATAATCAATGCACAAGTGTGCATGTACACACGCACATACAAAGACTGAGACTCAGATTCCAACCAGACAGAAGAAACACAAAGTGATATTTAACTTAAGCAAAAGAAAAACTAACACTACGTCTAAATCAAGAGATTGTTTCCACAAATCAAAGTAATCGAATATCATAGTTTGGTATAAACTAGGAACTAAATGCACATGAACAACAGCAGAATGGCCTTAGAAAGAAAAAAAGCGAAGAAATGAAAAAGAGCAAGAATCTGGTAGAACCCTAAATCTGGGCAGCTTAACAAAAGCTGGCTAGTCGTACCTGGATGGAGAGAATCAGTTTCGATGCTACAGCAGAAGAGAAGATCGAATAGGATAAAGCAAAAAATAGAAAACAAATTGAGAAGTAGATTGAGGTCGAAAAGAACCATACAAATGACTTTTTTCTTCAGTTTTTCTATCTCAGCTGTGCTTTGCTGTGTTTTTTTTTTCTTCTAACATTCTAAAGTACAATTTTCTGTTTTTTTTCTTTTTTTAAAATTATAAAAACATGTGAAAATATACCCAAACATAAAATAAATTTAATAAAATTGAATTAGAAAGATTAAATTTATAATTTTTTAAAATTAAAGGATAAATTAACCAAAACTTTTAAAAAAGATTATTTTAATTTTTATTAAAAATTAGAAAACTAAAAAATATTTAATTCAAATAAAAGTTATTCAATTCAATTCTATTAGAATAATATTCAGTTTTATTTAAATAATTTGTTTTTTTTTATTTCAAAAGTATGTTACGTAACATCCTAAAACTACCCTGTAAAACCATACATGAGAATAATTACATATTAACAATATTATAGACGAGTTCAATACTTAGCTAGATACGATTACGGTCGAACGGCCTTCCCTAACAATAGGGAATTTAAAACCATACGCTAGCTACCAGTGTACAAAATAACTTATACCGAACGGTCTTACCAAAGATAAAGCTAACAACAGATCGAACGTTCCTAAGGTTCGGCCTT